CACAGTAACTGAAAACTCAAGCAAAGAACTTAGCGAAACTTCTATAAATCCAGCTGTCACAGATGTTAACGATGAAGCGAATTCTTCTTCTCCAACAGTTTCCGCCGGTACGGATGTGGATGTGAACTATGCGCAACACGTGACGTATGAGGAAGATGGCAGCGCCATCTACACAGACCCCAAAACCAAATATCGCTACAAGTGGAGTGAAACTGAAAATACTTGGCTCCCTTGCGACACGGCAAAGAATGGCTCTAAAGCAGAGACCACGGCCAACCCCTATGAGAATGAGCACTACAAATGGTGCAGCCAGACCCAAAAGTGGATACCTAAAGTGCAAACGACAGAGACCGAACATTACAAATGGGATGCTGAGAAGGGAGAGTGGATACCAAAAGATATTGGTGCGCAAACAAATCCAACATCAAAGCCTGCTACTTCTGATCCCGCAAATGTGGCTTACGATATTGATGAGGACGGAAATCGCATTTATACAGACAAGGATGGAACAGTCTTCTTCTGGGATGCCACAAAGAATGCTTGGTTTCCGAAAATCGATGATGACTTTATGGCGCACTACCAGATGAATTACGGCTTTATAGATAATACCAGCGCGGCAGAGGAGGAGAAGCGGCGCAAGGCCGAGGAAGCTGAAAAGCTCAAAGAACTGGAATTGCAGCGGATGACTGAGGAGGCAAAAGCCGCTGCAGAAGAGGCAGACGCAGCGTTAAAAGGAGCTGGTGACGCCACGATTGCCGGTGCTAAGCGAAAAGCACAAGAGCCTCCAAGTAAGTAGATTTGAAATTATTGAGCCGATTTGGGAATGTGTGTAACGCGAAAACAATTTCATATAGAAAATTAAGAATCAACTCTTTATACTAGAATGCAATCCATTGTCAATCGAAACTCATCTTAGTGTGTAATATAAAAAAAAATTGTATATTTTTAGAATGGTTTGAATTGGATCCTGAGCACAACACAAAAGTTTACGTTTCCAATTTGCCGCTGGACATCACAATAGATGAGTTCGCGGAACTTATGGGTAAATGTGGTATGATAATGCGCGATCCACAGACGCAAAAGTATAAACTTAAATTATATGCCGAGCCGGATGGGCAGTTGAAAGGCGATGGCTTGTGTGACTACATAAAAGTGAGTAACAAAAACTTTTCAATGGCTAATTTAGTTTACATAAATGCGAAGTTATTATTTACCTTAATAGATACTCAGAAAAGCGTAAAGCCTGGAAATGTAAAAATAAGAACTAGCTGTAAATAACCTATTTAAATTCTTTATTATATTTGGCAAAAAAATACTTTTGAAGATCATTTTAAAGGTCTCATTGAATAATAAATTAACTTGACCTTAAAACGACCTTCAAAATTATAATTTTTGTTTCGTTGTTTTTAAAGAGGGTTAAATATATTTTTCGCTTCTTGTGATAATGGAAATGAATTGAAGTAAGAAAAACAAATATGTTAAAACTTTTCAAAAAGTTCATACATACTAATTTCAGGTCAAATAAAATTATAGTTTAAAACTAAAAATACGCTTTTATTATATGAACCAAAAAGGCTAAAAATAATTTATAGATATTAAGGTTAAGAGGAATAGGTAGTTTCCTTATTTTGATTTGATTTAGCTTTTTAAACTAGCTTAAAATGGGATCAAAGTGATTGACAATAAAATTAACTTTAATGGGATACCAATTGTTCTGAATTTTTCATTGTCAATGTATGTAGTAACTAATATTGAATATTGCCAATATTTAGCATGACTGTACAAATTGATTTTCCATGAAAGTTACTATTATTGTTAATATCCTATTTTAAGCTAATTTAAAAAGTTCAATCAACTTAGGGAACTTCCAATTCCTCTTAAAGTAAATCGCTATACTTAGTTGGGCTATAAATACTGCTACACACATTTTATGCTATAAAAGAAAAAAATAATGAAGATTTTAGGAATTTTTTTTTTACATTTTTATTGATATGTATGCATACATATTGTATACAAAAATGTATTTTATACAAAAATAAATGTCGATACCTGACCTATCTCGGCAGCCGGTTGGAAAACGCCCTATCTTAGAAATCTTTTCAAGAACGTCCTACTTCAGAATTTGATTGCAGAATGCCCTATTTCAGAATTTTATTAAAAAACACCCTATCTCAGAATTTGGCTGAAGAACGCTCTATATCAGCTGTCGATTCACATTTTCAATGTACTTTCAGCAGAGATAGGGTATTTTTGAACCGAATTCTGAGAGAGGGTGTTGTTCAATCAAATTCTTAAATAGGGCGTTCTGCGCTCAATGTCTGAAGTAAGGCCGAGAAAGGTCGATCTTCCACTCAGGCGTTGATATGTATATATCCATACATTTGTAATCCAGTTCAAATCAGGACTGCCTGAGGGCCATTCTCCAGAGGAAATTTATCCTGGCAAATTTTGTTGGAGATTTTTCTGTGCAAAAAATTCCGGTACCGCGTTTGAAAGTCCGAAGTCTGTTTTAATAATTCGAGTAATGGACTTTTGCGTGGCATTCATCTCTCGGGACACGAGTTCCTTTTTTCGTAGCGGATGTCTCTTAATTCTTGATTTGACAGCTTTGATGACATGCGGGGTTCGTAGACGGACCGACCCGCGGCGGTCTTTAATATATCCCGTCTCCTCAAACAGTTTTATGCACCGGCATACTAACATACGACTAATGCCGAGCGTGCGGAGCGTTTGGAAAGTATCAAATTTTTCCATTTCACACTTAAACAGCGATACGTTGCTCGTTATCTGACCACTCCATGGCTAAAGCTGAACCAATTGTGAATTCCCGGTAGAATATATTTCCTTTGCCATGTGGTAATATTGGGGTATGTTTAACTTTTCTATTGTAATGGGCGCGCTCAATGTTGTGACAGTTTTTTGCGCCTACCAAGTATACATATATAAATTATTTTTACCTTTTAGTACACATCTTATTCTGATTTGGCGCTGTACCCGCCTAAGCGATTTTGGCCGAGTTCAACAAAGCACGCCAGTCGTTTGTGTTCTATGCCAACTGACACCAATTGGAAATGCCAAGTGTAGTTGGAGCATCGGTGTCCATTCGAACGACATGGCCAAGCCAGCGGAGCCGCTGTACTGTGTCCATGCCCTTTAGTTCACATCGCTTTGTCCCAAAATTCTATTAACTTTAAAATGCGTCGACTGTTTAGGGGCGACGGCTAATACTGGGCGCCTAAATGCATGGTACGTACTGATGTATGTGCAACTATCTGTTCTCGTTCCCGAGATATTTGATTTTATTACAATAAAGTTTATTTGCCACACTCTGTGACACCAATTGTAAAGGCAAAGTGAGGCCAAGTCCGTGCAATTTAATTCTAAATTCAAACAACATTCAATTCGTGTTTTTGTATAGATTTTAAAACTTTATTGTTGGTTTTTTTTTCACATACACTTGCTAGATTTGCAGATTTTTTTTGTATTATCTGTTGTTACTCTATGTATGGATGTACCATGTTACACTTGCAACATACCGCTATTAAATTTTCGTTAGACTATTTTAATTTAAAGTCAATGGTTAGTTCATTTACGGTGCTCGATATTTTAGTGTATACTTTTATTAAATTACATAACATTTCCTAAATACATGTACCATGTATTAAAATTGAATTCAATTTGTTTTCATATGAAGTGTGAATGTGTTATTTTTTGATATTTATTTATAAGGCGAAAAGCATACTGTGAGGTAATAATAAGATAAAAAAAATTGTATTTAGCTGCACATTTCGAATGGATTTATATCCTTCGCTCTTTTTTATGATACGTGTACATACATATATATGTACATATACTAGGTATGTATGTATGTATGTATCTGTATATTTACAAACGTTTGCATTTTTTAACCATGGTAACATTTGAAAGTGATAACAATTACATAATATGCATACATTAAAAAAGTGTTTAATAGTTTTATTTAATGCATACAAAACATTTGTGTTAATATACTACATATATCGTTTAAATATTGCTTTTAACATTGAAAATTAAAATTGTATTTTAAAATTTGTTAAAAGCGAATCGTTTCAATAATGGCATTTTTATAACTTATTTAAGCAGCATTTTTATAATTCTTAAAAATTAAAAATACAAAAGTCTTACATTAGTAATATTATATATAGTATTAACGATGAGCTTCAAAAATCATGTTCATAGTCCTAAACTTTGAGTTACGTTAGAAAATTTTTTATTATTAAAATGTATGCCAGGGTAGGCCAACAATATTTATTGGATTTTTTCCATAGATTAGGAATCTGTTCTTCAAATTATTCAATTGGCTCTAGTTTTCGAGTTATTTGGGATCAAAAGCATAAAAAAATATGAAAAATTTGATTCCGCATACATCATCTAGTCACAAAAACATTTTTTTTCTTAAACAAAATTTGGTATATGCGATCTGAAATATCCTTATATATATCTTTTCTTCACATCCATAAAATTTTGTTTAAAAATTGTCTTATTGTAGGTGCTAATAAACCTTTCAAGTTAAGTTCCCAAGTCAAAAAACAAAAGACATGTCCTGATTTGATTAAAGGTGGAATTAATTCTCCTTCGAATAAATGTAATGGGTTGTATGACCAAATTATTCACACGTTTTCGAAACATTTGACAGATGAATTTAGATTCTAAGAGAGTAGTACACAATTTTTAAAGTTAAATAAGTTGAAAAAATCCGTTTTTTAACCATTTAAATCGCAAATATCTCAAAAACTTGAGCCCATCTAATAATTTCAAAAAACGGTTCTAATTCGTCGGAAAAAATCATAAAAGAACCAGTCGTCACTGGTTGTGCCGTAAGCAGTTGTTGGTATTTTGCTCGGCTATTTTATTATTAGTACTCTTTTTTTTTGGAAGAACTAAACAACTCCCAAAATAATGTTTTGTTTATGGCATTTCTGGAATAGTTCCTGCTTTGCATCTATGTATGTATTTACATGTGTGCTTATGCAGATGTATTCTGTGTAAAATTTTGGTAGAACATTTGCATACTTATCTTGTGAATCCCTTAGGTGTAAAATTATTGGATGTTTAAGGAAAAGTTGGTAGTGCTTTTACATAAATATTACATAAATTAGAATTAAAACTATTATGTTTGTATAATCATTATGTGTACATGTGTTGAATCGTAAATTACAGTTACAAAACGGTAGGGGTCGTGCATGCACTCTTCAAAATTTTATTTTCCAATCTGTGTGCATCTTATTTACAAACAAACGAACAACTCTTATTTTGCGACTTTCTGAAATTATTATTATTTATTTAAATTATTATTATTTTTTCTTAAGCTGCCTATTGTAGATCCACTTATAAATCAATAACTATATGAGAATACAATATTTTATTTTCGTAATTTACAATCGAGAGTACTTTCAACTGCTGTCAAGCAGTAGCCGTCACTGGAACGCTGCTCGTTTGCAACTAAAGCTAATACTAGTGCCTCCGTGGCATTATTAACGCATACATACATTTTTTTTTTTAAATCTTATTTCTTAAATTTTTGCATTTTATCAAATTAGAAAAAAAAGTATTTTGAAGACCTAAAAACAAGAAGCATTGAGCGTGTTTCGAAATAAAAGAGAATGGCAGCAATGACTTACACACATAAATTAAAATGACTTATATTTAGCTTAATTTCTTAACGAGGTTTTTGGGATAAATCAAAGCTACAACAGTCGAGCAGCGACTTCATTTCCTTGTTTAGGGTCGGCTCAATACAGCAGTTATCCCATTAATTCTAATATCATTTGATTTGGCGAATTTCCTGCACTCTATCTACTTGTCTTCGAAGGCCTCGTTGCCGCCATTCGCTTGTTGTTGTTGTTTGTGTAATTCTTGTAGTTTCTTGGCCTTTCGTCCTTTTCGCATTTCGAAGAATTTGCGTTGGTCCTCGGGTGAGAGGCGCGATAGTCGCTCTGCATACTTGCGTTTCTTTTCTTGTAGCTCTTGTCGCACACGCTCGTCTTCTTGCTTTTTCAGCGCTTCAAATCGTTCTTGTCGTTGACGTTCCTGCTCTTCCGCTGCTCTTCGTTCGGCCTCCTCTTGTGCCTTGAGTGCTTCTTCCTCCTGATTGATCTGGGCTTCGTGTTCTTCTTTACGTCGTCTTTCCGCTTCTTCGAGCTCCTTCTTTAAGCGCTCCTCTTCCTCTTCGAATTTCCGTTGTTCTTCCTCGCGCCGCGCGATCTCTTCTTCCCGTTGGCGCAGCAGTTCTTCCCGGCGGCGATTCTCCTCCTCAAGACGCTCCAGCTCTTGTTTCTCTAGCTTACGCGCTTCTTCGAGTCGCTGCAGCTCCAGCCGCTTCTCTTCCTCTTCTTGCTGTCGCTTGATTTCCTCTTGACGTTGTTTTTCCTCTTCTTCTAATCGCTTACGGTTGTATTCGTCTTCCTGGCGCTTTCGTTCCTGTTGCTCATGCAGCTGTCGTTCACGATCGTCCTCTGCCTTTTTCAAGCGTTCTTCGTATTCTTCCCGTTGCTGCTTCTCCTTCTCGAAACGTTCTTGTTCCCGCTTTTCCTCCTCCTTGGCGCGTTCTTCTTCGGCCTTGCGCTGCGCTTCCTCTCGCTCTTTGCGTTCCTGCTGTTCGCGTTCGCGCTGGCGACTTATACGCTCCTGGCGTATGCGCTCGGCGCTATTATACTCTTCCTCACGCCTTTTCTGCTCTTCTTTCAGTGCCTTCAATTCGCGTTGGCTTTTCTCGCGTTCGATTCGCTTGGCTTCCGCCTCTTCCTGTTGCAGCTGTTGCTGGCGTTGGCGTTCTTGGTCGGCAGCTTCGCGCTGGCGCAGTTCATCTACTTCGCGGTTGGACTGTTCCGGTTGCTCTCGCTGTTCATGTGATTTTTGTTGCTGGTCCTGTTGCTCTTGATCTTGTACTTGTTGCTCACGTTCGCGTTGTTGCTGCATACGCAACTGATTTTCTCGTATGCGTTGACGTTGCTCGATCAGACGTCGTTCCTTTTCCTGTTGCATGTGTTGACTTCGCTCTTTTTTACGTTGCAGCCGACGCATCTCCTTCTGTCGTTGCCGCCACACGGTGCGGTCGTGGGGCGTTCGTGGATGGCTATGCCGGCGTGGTCCTGTAACTGGAGCCGTTGTCGTAGGAGCGGGTATTTCGTTATAACGTACTGCCGTTGTTAATGAAGTGGGTGTCGATTTGTCGGTCGATTCAGAATCGATATCGTTTGGATGAACACTCGGTCTAGTTTGGGTGTTTTGGGGGCGGCGGCGCAAGTCGTGAGGGCGACCACGTCCGCGTCCGCGATTTCCACCTTGACGTTGAGTGCGGGTCTTGGGGATGACGATCTGTTCCTCGCTGCCGACGGCCTTGACGATAACATTGGACCTGAAATAGAGGAATATTTCGTAAGAGTTTTGGCTTAAATTCGGGCATTCCTTGCTAATACGATTTAACTTATGCATTTATCATTGTAAAATTAAAGTATTTTATGTTTTTTAAATATCCTATAACTAATCTCTCTCTCTCCTCTTTACGTAGGTGGAGTCGGTGGGGCTGGCTTTAAACATCTTGGATGACTACAACCTGCGCGGTCATAAAATTCGCGTACAACGTGCCGAATTTCAGATGCGTGGAGAGTATAATCCAGCATTGAAGCCGAAACGAAAGAAGAAAGACAAGGAGAAATTGCAGAAAATGAAGGAAAAGTAAGTTTAATGCCGGCCCCTTGATATTTCTTTTAATTAGGGGTATTCCGTAATACTCTCGAAACCCCGAAAGTCCCGAAGATCGGGCTGAACTGTTAAAATGTCTATGCAGAATGCAGTTGCCCAGGTTTTCGAGCTTACGAGATTCAGTTAATTGTATGAAATGTTTTAATTTACCAGATTTTTTTTTCTATTTATCGCATTTTTTATTCTAATAAAACTAATAAATTTCCTAATTACTCAACCAGGCTTTTTGATTGGCGACCGGAAAAGATGCGCGGCGAGCGTTCCAAAAATGAGAAGGTGGTTATTATTAAAAACCTTTTTGATCCGACTATTTTCGAGAAGGAAGTACAACTCATATTGGACTATCAGAACGAGTTGCGAGAAGAGTGCAGCAAATGTGGTACAGTTCGCAAAATTGTCATTTATGATGTGAGTTTGCCATATCCGACTTTCTATTTTCTGAATACATGTACATATGTATGTATATTTAATTTCTTGTTTACTAATTTTCAGCGCCATTCTGAAGGTGTCGCACAAGTTAATATGGCTGATCCTGAAGAAGCCGATGTGGTTATACAAATGATGCACGGACGGTTCTTTGGCCAAAGGAAGTTGACCGCAGAGCATTGGGATGGAAAGACGAAATACAAGTGTGTAACGACAGCTTTGATATATTAAAATTTATATGCTATTTTTAAATTTTTGTCGTTTTCAGAATTATTGAATCTGAGGCCGAGATACAGAAACGACTTAACAATTGGGATCAATATCTAACACAGGAGGAAAATGAACGCAAAGAAAATGCATCAAAGCCGGACGATGCAAAGGAAAAAGGCGATATGCTATGTGACAATGAAGATATTCAATGCGGCGTATTAGAAGAAAACTCGAAATCTGCTTGCAGCGATGTGAAAGCGTTGGATAATGATTAATTGCATAGATCGACAAGAAAATCGGAACTGACGCTAACTACTACTGATTTTTATGCAAAGTCCGGACTCAGTTTCTTCGATTTTTTAGGAGACTCCACAATTTATAATATTCAACAATCAAATAAATATATGCATCAGCCATGCCCGGCGCTGGCAAAACTTTTGCACTTTCTTATGGCGTTCTGCCAGCGCTGGGTACAGTTGATATGCACCATTCCTGCTGGTTCTTATATAAAATATCCTACTGAATCCGAATATGACTTCTTGTTGTACATATGTACAAATGCATATGCATATTTATTTGTAATGTTTTACACTTATTTTTTTTATGTTGAAGTTTTCTAAATTTCTCAATAAAAAATACAATTTTAATAATAATTTCAAACAGAATTCATGATCTTCAAACAGACGAAAGTTATGTATGAAAATAGGTTAAGCGTGTAAATAAGTCGTTACAAATGATAAGTTTCCTTCTCTTAATAATTTTTCAGTGAAGGATTTCGACAAAATTTTGAAGTGTAACGTTTAAATTATGCCATTTACTGGCTAAATGTAAACAGGCACTGGCACGAACTCATTCCAATAAAATTCCAATACTGGCTGCCAGTATAACTGTCATAGTCGCATATTTTAATAATTAAAATTTAATTCATTATCAACCTCGTCTTCAATACATGGCCACTGCATTTTTCATTTCGCTAGCTTTTGAATAACTGGAATTATGTAGACAGTCGTCGTTCCAGTTCACCGCTGGTCTGGCACACTGGAATGACATGCTACTGGCATAATGTAAATGGCATAATTCAAAAAATGATGTACATATGTTCATATATTCGGATTCAAGCGTTATTTTGCATAACAACCATTTATGAGCGTTTCGGGGTATGTACTTTGCCGAACCGTGTTACTCACATTACCTTCATGAGTTTATTTAATAATTAAGTATATATGTATGTACATATGTATATTTCGCGATATACTAACCCATAATGGCAAATACATATGTGGAACAGGAAATCGCAATTACTAGCTTTTCAATATTTGAAAAAAAAAAAAATAAAGTTTGCGCTAAAAGTGTTACTTTGGTTATTGACTTATTTTTAATCGACTTCCAAAAAAGGAGGAGGTTATCAGTTCGTCGGAATATTTTTTTTTTTTTTTTAATGTATGTTACCGCATAACTTTGGACCACGTCAACCGATAATCGATAATTCTTTTTGCATTGGAAAGGTAGTGTCTCAGAGGTGGTCCCATACTAATCTGGTTGAGATCCGATCAGTGGATCATGAGATATATATATATATATATATATATATATTTTTTATATGGGAGTTGAAGTCGGTTTTTTTTTGCTAAAATTTACTTGTTATTATTCACAACATACCTGGGTCCGTTTTTGCCGGGTTGATCCATCACCTCCAATATAACTTCATTCGCGAATTCATGTGGGTAGGTGGCATTCCAACGATTGTAGACTTTGTGACGATTCTTCTCACTGACTTTCGGCATTTTATGTTGACAAATGAAACGGAATTTGTCCGGACAAGGACGTGCAGACCACCTATTTGCAGCAAAACAAAAGTTTTATCAGCGATGTTTTTGGTTTGGTTTTTTTAATTGTTATCATGCAATGTGCTGTGCGGTGAAAGTAAAGCTAAATTGTATGCTTTTGTATAGTAAAATATTTTATTTTACTATGCCAAATTCTGAATACATTTCACGTTGCAAGTTGGCTGCTTTATGATTTTTAGCGTATGCATATGTATGTATATGTACATATTTCACTTATGCATTTTTGTAGCTCACAGTCTTGAGAAATGCACATATGTATGTATGCATGTCTGCGTATAAAATTGTGTTTATATTCTTGTCTGGCGCTACACATCATTAGCACGTCAATTGAATGCAATGCGCTTTAAGTTGATGGGCAGTCGGACAACTTGATTAGCAATTTCACACGTGAACCGCTCGCATTTTAAGTAATGGGTTAAACGCCAACGTTCGCCTAACTCGGGAGTGGGTAAGGACTGCGTTATGGCATTGCAATTAAATGACTATTTGTCATACTGTCCAGATACATCCATGCATACATATGTGAGTAACGTATATAAGGTACATGGAAATTTTTAATTCATTTTATTACGCTGTGTCATAGTGGGAAATATTCCACAGAAAAGAATACGTGTCATAACTTGCAGAATGGAGTTAGTCCTATAGTTTCTGGCCGTATTTTTATTCGGCAATATCTTTAAGAGTTGATTAAGTATTCATACATACATATCGCACACGGTCTTCAAAAGAGTCACAACTCAAAATTTGGCATTTTTGAGATTATGCGCTAAAAATGTACGCAGAGCTTTTCTTTACCTTTCAGCTAAAGCTGGAGCAAATTTTTGTTATAATTTGTTAAAAAAAAACCGAAGGTAAAGTCGCCCTTGCCCATATGATTATCATGTGCTAAGAAATAGTTTTTTTTTCGCATTTTCTGACAAACGTATTATTTTGAGTTGTGACTCTTTTGAAAACGGTGTGTGATATGTACATACAGCAAGGCGATAATTTGGCTAACGTCTATGTATAAAAGCAGGGCTGTGCTATCAGCCTTATCGCGAATTCCATGTGAACAAATTTTCCCAAAAATTTTTTCTTAATTTGTTTTTGCTTTGCTTGTGCAATTATGGGAACGATTTATTCACATGGATTTGGCGATAAGGCTGAATAGTTTATTCCAATTAATGACATTCGTTGTTATTGTAACAGCATTCGAAATTCTACAAAGAATTTTGGGCAATGCTGCTAGAGTGGCCAGAAATAAATCTGGGGAGTTCTGGTTACGTAGACCCGACTGTTGTGGGAACGAACTACCCTTGGGTATAAAATGCAGACATGATGAGGCTTCCTTTTATAATTTAAGTGTTTATTCTTTTGGTACATGAGTATAGAGCCTGTCAGACGTGGCAATATTTCCGTCTTTCGCACGCAATTTGCTGTCAAATTGAGAAAGAGAAATTTTATTTCGAATTGTGAACAGCCAGAAAGATCTTTCTGTCACCTTTCGGAAATCAGTTTCAGAAATAAAAGTTGCAAGGTGGGACTGCAACAGCAAGAGCGAAAATCGATTTTGGAAATATATTTCAACTTGCTCGTGCTGCACTAGCAATTTTCATTTCTTCTGCAAGTGCTGTCAAACTAATCGAGTGTTGCCGTGTGGCCCTGATCGTGAATTTGTGTAAAATGATAAAAAATATTGTTGAATTAAATATCAAAAATGCTTAATCGTTAAATTATTGTTTACACGACAAATATGTTAATTATAACCTATATTTTCTCGCTTTTACAAGAGAAATAGCAAACAAACGACAACCCCACCGCCCATGGTTGCATTTTAGTATCGAGAAAGATTGCCAGAAACTCATTCGCTGTGCGAACAGCCAAAAAGCGATTTCAGAAATTTTTCCTGCAATTCGCCGTTCGGAAATAAAAACCTCTTTCGAAAGACACTTTCCATGCAACGTGTGACTGCTCATGCAACTGATTTCTTAATTTGACAGCCTTTCCGAAATTTATTGCATCGAAATATATTGCCACGTCTGACACGCTCTTATGATGTGACTGACGACTTATGTACATATGTATGTATAATTTATATCTTCATTTACCTGTAATCCAGATTTGGGTCATACACAGCGCAATGGTTTTCCAAATTCTGTCTGATCCTGCAAAACATGCGCTCATTAATTATATCTTGATAATTAACTAAAATGTAAGCAAATAGGTACAAATTAAGATAGACTTGAATTTTTTAGATCAACGCTATGAATGTACATGTGAAGTACGTACATAAATCAGAAAGAAGCTGCCCTACCAGAACAGACTGAGTAAATACCCGAGTAAACATCGGTATTTTATAGGTGGCTTTGCCTGGTGTATTTGGTAAAGTTTCTATGAATTTCTTCACAGAAATGTTCATGATAAAAATATACAATGTAGTAAGATTAGAACCGATGAGAGACACTTTTAAAATTCTTGACATTTGCAAGCAAATTCCCACCAAACAATTTTTGTTGCCGGAAATAAGAAAATGTCCGCCCTCGGAAACAAATTTATTGCCTCTAATATTGCCATGGTATTGATTTCCTATTATCAGTCGGTTGTTGTTGTTGCGGCTCATTTAGCCCTGCCTAGATCGGGTAGGTCATCTAGCGGTAGGCCAAGGAAACGTAATGTTTCGACGTCCGCCGAAGGCAACTCGCCTGGGCGAGTCGTTTGCTTATTACCTGAATGAGTCGTTTTCTTATCGCTTCAGGTGATATTTGGAATAATTTTATACTTTCTAATACTTAATTTATTTTTTGTATATGAAAAAGGAACTTAGAAACGGAATTAGTTCTTTCTTTCGCTATGGGATTCATATTTTATCAATCTTGTCCTTGGTAAAAATTAGACGATTTTGGATAAGTTTGGGAATTTTTGATAACTTATTTATTCCAAAGTTAACATGAAAGAAATGATGTTGCCGAATTTGTCACCACAGCAATAAATCGGTGAGTCGCCAATTTGTTGCCATTGACGATTGTTGCCTATTTCTCATGTTTTGCATGGTGGGTTTATATAACTATTAGTGGCATACACGGTGCGTCTGACTCGCGAGTCATTTGTGTACGTGTTGACTTGCCTTCGACTACACACAGTTGAATCATTCAGAGTCATGCCAAGAGTCATGTCGGTGTAACTAACACATATTTATTTTCACAAACATATCCAAACCGGTTCGCGAGTCAGACGCATGGTGTATGCCGCCTATTATACAGACATGACTCTGGCATGACTGAATTACTTAAATGAGTGTAGTCGAACGGCGAGTTAACACGAACACAGATGACTCGCGAGTCAGACAAATTTCAAAAAAAAAAAAATCATGGCCGGCGAATTGAGACGAATGTTAAAACTCTGCCGTATAATCCTGTACATTTTAGTGTACGTGTGAGAGTCTGTAGCGGAAAATTCATAAAAGTGAACAAAAAGCACACTTGCCTGGATAATAGGTTACCTGATTGAAAACTATTATGGCAATTCAAAACACGTAAACGCCTCGTAACCATGTAAACCTCGTAAACTTACTTAATTTTGTATGTAAAATCGGTTTATTTACGAGGTTTACGCGGTTACGAGGCATTTACGCGTTTCTATGAATACCCTTATTATTCTACACAGGCCTATTCTGAACAGAAACTCTCTGGGAGTCTTCTCTTTTTTCCCTTTCCTTCTATTATGAATAAAAATTCCCTAAGGAGTTTTTATATTAAATGGCGAACTTGAGCTGTCAAAAAAATGTCAAACAGCTTTTTCGAAGTTCGAATTACCCCCTCCCAAATTCTCGCGAAAAATGCTACTCCTTGGGAGTTAATTGCTGGAGGATTTCTTTCTCGGGAGAAACAAATTTCCGGAGGGCAAACTCCCCGGGAGTATTCAAAATTGGGCTGGTAATGTATTTTATTGTTGTAAACTGGATAGAAAATATAACCACATAACCAGATAACCAGACAGGTGTGAACACCCACATTTTTTCGGTAAATTATTGGTTTATTCGAGAGAGCGATAATCGCCTGCAAAAGTTGACTTGCTGTCTACTTTCAGGTAAGCGATTTTTGAATCGCCATTTACACGTGCGATTTTTGTTGAGCAATGTTGAATCGCCTTGAAAATCACCCCATGTAAATGCAGCTTTAGAACAGCTCGAAATGGATAAAGATTTTGCTCCCAAAATAATCATTTCTTACGAAGCACATTTTCATCTTGGCGGCTTTGCTAACAAGTAAAACTGGCGCAACTGGAAATCGGAAAAGCCGTACGTGATCGTCGAAAACCCAATGCATCCTCAGAGAGTGACAGTTTGGTGCGGATTTTGGAGCGGTGGCATCATTTTTCCCAGTTCTCTATAAAAATGCTGCTGGAAACGCCATATCGGCCAACGGTGAGCGGGAATAGAAGACATGGACTCGGCGTTCTTTGGTTTCAGCAGCAGTGCCGCGCCATGCCACACAGCCCATGCCACACAGCCCATGCCACAATCGATCTTTTGCGGGATAAGTTCGGTAATCGTACTATTAGCGGCGACGTCAATTGGCCACCTCGGAGCTGCCATTTGACGCCGTTAGACTTATTTTTAGTGGAGTGTTGTGAAGGACAGATGTTATGCGAACAATTTATTAAAACTATTTAGGCCCTTAAAATGAATATCGAGCAAGCCATTCGTGAAATTACACTAGAAACCGGCACCAAGGTCTGGATATGTAGCTGTTTAGACGGCTCCAGTATCTAGACCGTAAGGCCCTTCGTACACAAGGCTACGCAAATCTTCGATACCCGAAGATTTTAGTCTCTAAGCGACTACCGCAATACAAATTCATAGAGGTTCGTACAGAGGCACGCGTTGCCGCTATTTTGTTCATTCGTTGCGAGATCGCCGCTACAAACGCTTCCGCGATTTCCGAGATGGAGGGTCAATTAGTGAATATTAAATTTGTTTCTTTGGTGGAGAAATTTCCTTTTTTGTATAATTACGTACGGACCGTACACTATGTGTGTACGGACCGTGCGCTACAACATACTCGCGACGTATGTAGTTATAGAACGTTTGTACAGGCCGGGAGTCTGTGTGGGTGCAAACAGTATCCCTGTGAATGCCGTTTACGGGCTGTCCTCTCTTCAGAACCAGGTCCAGCCATTGCTGTACATAGTGGTTCAGCTCAAAGAGATGCCATCTGATGTGCTACCTGGGTAAGGGATCTGCATGAAGCAAGTGTCTGTTCTGGCAGTGTTCTGTTTTAAAGTCGCCCTTACTTAACTAATTATATAAAAACTGAAAAAAGAAATAGTTTTATTACTCAGGTTCCATCCGACTGAATGCGTCATAGGTTAGGTTTTTGCCACTAATACTCCACTGCCATACATTACTTTGCCAATCGTAAGTAGCGCCAATCCAAATGGGTTCATTTACTGCAACTAAGAAAGCATTTTTATATACATAATTACTTGTATATACTCGACATTCATTTTACTTACATAGCCGCTCAGCATCGTAGTGCTTGAGGAAGTTACGCAATTTGCGATCGGCATTCTTTTGTGGTTCTGCCAATTTTGCATTTTTGTCCTTGCAGAAAAAGTGCGCCTCTAACCAGCTGCTGGACTGTGGCAGGATCGAATAACATTCGGTACCGACTCTTTGAAAGTGAGGCGGACACATAGCGTACATTCGACGATTTCGCAACGTTTTCGATGCCGCATTCTGTGTATTGGTTGACTGTGGCACTCGATCCAGATCATTTTCGTTGATGAAAGAAACTCCCGCTGATGCGGCTGATACGTGATATGCCTTAATAGAGGGTGCCACTGTAAAATTAAAAAAAAAACATGTGTAAAATGAATTCAAAGTACATACATATAGTCGGCGATACCATTGCCAAGGCATATTCAACAAGCTAGAAGCGATTTTGACAGTTCTCTGCTGCGACTGAAGTGTCAAGCATAGACCAAGATATGTATTTCAAATTAAATTTTGCTGTCACTTCTACCTTGTGAGTTTCTTTAAGTTAAATTACACCCGACTCCTATATTCTACCCTCTTTTTCGAGAGAAGTCATTAGAAAGTCACACAATGAATTTTTTCTTATAAACTTTATGCTATCAAAATGGGCATTTCAATTTACAAAAAGTCAAATAGAGCTGAACATTGACACAGACCTTATAAATACTATTATCTACAAAAAAAAATACCAAAAGTTCTACACAAAATTATTTAAGGTCAAAAGTCAACAATATCTATCCTTTTTTTCGTAAGCGAATCGAATACTGACATTTGGAATGGTACTTTGCGCATGCGTTTAAACGAGAACGGCCTGTATTTTACGTATTCACTAAAAATCAAAAATTTACCCCAAGGTCAAGCAAGGTTGGTCTTGAAATGTAGGAAGCAAATTTTTACATCAGATGCTACTATAGTCAAAGATATCATATATAAATTTTGGCCCCGATTGGAGTCGGTTAAGGCGTGTCCCACAGGGGCCAAAGTTCAAATTACCCTATGAAAACGTCTTAACCGACTCCAAACGGGACTATTTATGTATTAAATAAAAATAAAAATTGTTTTAAAAATAATATTACGCCAAATGTACATACATATGCATATACATATGTGGCAGATGAGAGTAGAAGTACGAATTTAATTAAATGATAATCAGTGCTCTTAATACTTACAACAGGCTAAGATGAAGATTAACAGCTGCATTGTGTTTGTTGCTGGTAGTAAATTAATTCGATTTTCTAAAATGCTTAAGCTGCTACTTGTAAGAGTCCTTTAAATCCAGCTCTTATCAGTGTGGGTAGTTATGGATTTCGAGATATGGTTGGCATCTAAGCAGCATCGGAGATATGTATGTAAATAATGACTGCAAAGGAAAAAACAAAACTAAGTTATTATGTGGCTAGTTTGAATAATATAAGAAAAATTTGTGTACACACAATTTATCGTTATATAAATAATAGTAATAAAGTTGTATTGGGTCATATGAAATTTTTTGAAAAAAATTTCTTATTACAAATAAATTTTCCTTTCCAATCTCACCAAACACTCAATACAACCTCGTCTGCCGTTAGTCCAGGCTTTGAAGTCGTCTTTGGAGGATTATCGGTCTTTGACCATGCAAAGCACGTCAGCTTGACGCTATTGTATTAGGTTTGCCAGATGTATGGGCATCAACACTACATGCTGGGGTTTGAGCTTGGGCTCCCATTTTGGATCCAATAAACCATCAAAAAAGGTCTTATAAAAATCATCTATAAGAAAGGGACCACGGAATAATAAAAAAGTATTAAAGCAAATCTAAAGTCCACGGCAGTGTTGGCAGATGGTCCATATAACTTCATCCTAAAGTCATTTCATTTCTCACTAAAAAAAATGAAAGTTTCCTTTTTTTATTGATTCATCTCAGAACAAAAATAAAACAAGTGTTAGATATTTGAAAAAATCCCTCATTTTGGGCATTTTTACTGGAGGTTTTAAACGAACGTACCTATTGACTAACCAACATTTAACAGAACTGTTACGAACGGCTTTAACTGACGTAAAACCAGATTTTGAAAGTTTTGCCAAAGGGAACTTTTGAATTTAATTTAATTTTAATATCTATCTTACGTACATTAGAATAATAATAAAATTAATGTTTTTCATTACTAATAATAATTTTATTTAAAAATAAAATTTTTGTTTTTGTTATGTTTTTTGTGGCTCTTTGTAGCATTTAGAATTTACATGTGGCTCTTTTCGGCCTCGCCTTGCCCACCCCTGCAATATAATTTGAGCTGGCAATCATTGCAAAGACAAAGTAGCGAAACACATGTTTTTTTATTGTCTTCTTATACTTGAACAAAAAGTATATCAGTTAAGGCTGCTTTTAAATATAATTGTAGAAACTTTTCTTCAATTTTACATTTGAAATCCGGAGTTGCGATAGGTCGTTCATACAACTTTGTTTGCAACGTTACGATTTCGCCAAAAATGCCTGAGTCACACTAATATTATTAGGTTTACATACTAGCTTGCAGTGAAAGTGCATTTGTATGCGAATTTGGCTAGTGATGGGCGAGTCCGAGATGTGTTGGCCGATTGTCTGGATTGTTCAAATGTCCCGATTGTTCTCGATGTTTTCTCTCGTAGACGAATTGCCACTCGAAAATAGTCGTTCTCAAGATGAAGTAACATCTTCACTAATAATCGGCCAAATCATCTCAGCCTCGCTGCTGGCCAGCGGCTGTTAAAACATCTCGATGCATGCAATCAATTTTTATAAGAAAAAAAATGGAATCATTGCAAATAATAAATGTGTATAATAACTACGAAAAAACAAACAAGCATATCCTTGTTGGTTGGTAAATGAGATCAATGATAGTAAATATTGGGAGTACAGGCTTCTGGGTATTGTTTTTTAAAATCTCGATTGTACAGTCGGGGAGCGAGTCGATTATTGACTCGATTGTAATTTTGCAACGATGGCGATTCTCTCGATCGTTTAAACATCTCAGACTCGCCCATCACTAAATTCGGCTAACGTTGTATTTATGTATATCAAAAGAGCGTACAGTTTTTAATATTGCTGTCCGCTCATGTCAAAAATGCATCAGGTATAAAAATATTAAGTTAAGTCATTAAAGATTTAAGTAAAAGCTCATTAAAGAGTTTGTAGCAAAACATTTCCAACGTTTAGATGGGCAAAAATATGAAGAAAACAAATACTTATGTACATATACTACATACATACATGCATATGTACATGCACATCTAGCCGCTTTTGATCCTCATAATTTTCGCAGAACCATTAAGCACTGAACCCTCGTTAAAATTTTATGTCATTAGTAACTTTAACTTCTATCCTAAGCTGAATGTTCTTATACCGTTGCCGTTGTTCAAATTTAGAACATCAATAAATAACTAAGACAATGGATAACCTCCGAGTGTATTTCTGAGCGATGCGCTTTGGCCGTTAATCATGTTTTATTCACTGTCGGGAAACGCACTAGTGTCGAACTGGTTCTGTACTAGCGAATTTAGAAGCATGGCTAGTGCGCGTTAATTCTCTTTTGCACTGGGACCGAAAATAGGAGTTATTTTTTTAAGAGTTAAACTTGGCCAAATATTTTTTTAAGTCCGAAATAAAAGTCCTTTCCGGATAATAAACAAACTGCTTATCCAAATTAACCCAAATTTGGTATCAAATGAAAGAGGACTGAAATGGCTTTTAAATAGAAATAACGAACGAAGGTTACCACATCTATTTACATTTTTTTTTATAATTTAATACCAAATACCTGACCCAACGTTTTTTCTATGGTAATTAAATAACATTTTTTATTGAAATATTTTTAAAGCAATTATATTATATTAAAGCAATTATATACAATTATATTATATTAAAGCAATTTTATAGTCCTCTTTCATTTGTTCACTTGTCTAATTTGGATAAGCGGTTGTTTGTCACCCGGAAAAAAATTTTATTTCGGACTTGAAAAATATTTCGCCAAGTCCGAACCAGTTCCAAAATCGACATACGAAAAAAAGTATCGTGATTTTTTCAGTCTTTTTGCTTTTCTCATGGGAGAGATTTCAAATTTTTTCAAATTTACGTTTACTGTAGCCGAGTTTGCGGAGGGAGCAAGCTGTTATTGGTTAGATTCCAGAAAAAGCATCTGGAAAGTGCTGAATGATAGCGTATTTGAACGAAAAACCCGGCAAACAAACATCTATTTAAAGTAAACAAGCCCCCGCTGCATTTCTTTTTCGATAGTTCCGAAGCTGTTCTAAATTCGTCACCTTAGATATAGATTTCTAATGAAATTTTTTTTATTCTTCGGGACTTATGACTAATGTGACTATTTGGACTTGGCAAATTTGTGTATCACTGAACAGAAACGGTTAGAAATAAAAAGGTAGTTGAATCTTTGAAAAACGATCGTTTTTAATGATTTTTTGCTTCCTACTATGTTTGTTACTATCGGAGTGGTTCGTTTTTGGCGATAAAGATCTAGTGAGGAACTGCTGCACTAGTCCCCGCTTACCCTACAGGTATGTGAGAACATTCATATACACATATGCAAATGTATGTTCTTATATGTGTGCATTTAAAAATGGACGTTTATATGTATGCGTTTTCGTCGAAGGATGCTATCAACGATATTCGTCAAAGTGTTATGTATACACATGTACACACATATCAATCAAAATCTTTATTTATTAGGAAGAGCAGTCATTTTAAATTTGCCATACCATACATGTTCTTCAAAAGTGTATTAATCAAAAAATTCCTCGTTTGTCTGAAAACATAAAAAACAACCTATTCTGAGCTTAAGTTAAACATGCATATCGACGGTACTTTGGCAAAACCTCGTATCTCGGAAATCGCTAATAATTCGTATCTCGTAAAATTAATTTAAAATGGGCATTAAAATACGCCCATTCATTATACATATATATTATTCTTAATTATCTTAAAAGAACTTAATCTTTAATACTCAGTAAAAAGGTTATTAAAAATTATTTTTCGACGAATGCAAATCACACCTTATATCTACATACATACGTCTTTCGTCATGCATGTCCTGATCTATGGCGCAGAAGCGTAGACGATGACATCATCTGATCAGACGGCTTTTGGCGGTCCGAGAGAAAGATTCTACCGCAGATACATACCGAAGTACGCCATAACTCAGAAATGCGAGAAAAAATGTGTTTATATATTATTATATATGGGCTTATAGTTTCTGACAAATTATTTAATTATTCCAGCTTTTTTATTTTGTAATGAAAAAATTAAAAATATCAAACTTTAACAGAAGAAAAATAAAAAAAACAGGTTCTGTGCTAAATTTTTGCATTTGTACTAAGGCCTGTTCTGTTACAAAAAAAAAAAAAAAATCGAAAAATTATGTGCCAAATTTTTACATTTGTACTAAAACTTGTTCTGTTACAAAAAAAAATCAAGTTACTGATGAAGAAAGTCGATGGATAAATACGAAATAATGACTGGTCAAATGAAAAGGCGCAAAGATTTTTTGTATGAAATATGAGCAGAAAAGCGTGCTCCTTAGGTGTACGCGGCGTATGCGTAACATTATTTCGTGCTCAATTTCCATATAAATAATCTTGCGCATTTTTATTTGACCACTCATTATTTCGTATTTATCCATCGATTTTCTTCGTCAGTAACTTGATTTTTTTTTGTAACAGAACAAGTTTTAGTACAAATGTAAAAATTTGGCACATAATCTGTTATTTTTTAAATTTTTATTCTGTTAAAGTTTGATTTTTCTAATTTTTTCATTAAAAAATAAAAAAAGCTGGAATGATTAATTAATTTGTCAGAAATTCTAAACTCTATCGGAAAATGATGTATAAACGGTTTAAGGAGAATTTCATTGGCTTTCATTTGCCGTATAGCAAATAATAAGTTATTGGTTGGAGTTTGATCACCAATTGGTTTACTTTATTGATTTCACTTTCTTTTATACCAAATTCTTACACTAACACTTACAAATTATTTACGAACTAGAATGTATACAAATATACTACTAATACCTACAAACTAACTACATAACTCTAAAATATGCTAAGTCAACATATGG